TGTTCTCTTCTCTAGATCTCCAAACTGGCTTTAGAGTACAAGAGCTGCAACCGAGGCCAGCAAGAGGACGTGGAGCCCCAGGATCCCCTGGGGGCTGCCGGCCTCCACCTCCCCACAGCTGAAGCTGCCTCCAGCCCCCCCTGCTGCAACACGGTGTTGCTGCCCGCCCAGTGGCACGGCCTCTCCCGGACCCACAACGTCTGCGAGCTGTGCATCAGCCAGACGGATGGGGTGCAGCCTAGCCCCCTGGTGCGTGTGCACTGCAGCTTCGTGGCCATCAAGGCCGCCGTGGACTCCTTCTACCTCAAAGAACAGGCCTCCTTCCACGTCGTATCCAAGACGGTTTCCTGGTGCAGCCACTTCCTCAGCTTCTACAGCCCTTTCAGCTCCTACACGGCCTGCTGCAGGACAGTGAACAGGGACCTGCTGGACTTGGTCAGGGCCAAAGGGGCCTCTTTCCACCCGCAGGACGTCTCCCTCGCTCCCCTCGGAGAGAGCCCATCGAAGGAGGAGGAGGAGCAGGCCGGCCTCTCTGGTCTCAGCTGCAGGACCAACAAGACCCTCAACCTCTACCTGTTGGACTCCAACCTCTTCTGGATGTACGCGGAGAGGCTGGGGGCTGCTGGTTCTCCCCCAGTGAAGGAGTTCGCTGCCATCGTGGACCTCCAAGAAGAGGTGCATTACGTCCTGGGCCAGAAACGGGCCCTCTTAAGAGCCAGCCTCGGTACGGCCTGCTGCTGCCCCTCCACCGGCTCCACCTGCGTGACAGGGGCGGTGGGAGGAGGACGGCAGCCAAGAAAGTTTGCCCGGGGAATGCTGCAATTTCTCTCCTTTCCTGCAAACCTTTGAGGCTGCACAAAATACCAAGGAGACCCAGAGCAGATCTCTTGACCCACTGACCCCCCCGCCTCTTCCTTGCAGAAACCTTCATCCGCAACTACACTGTGCCGTACAGCCCCTTGAAGAGGCATCTCGTCGGTGACCCCAGGCCCAGCCAGACCCGCCTGCAGCAGCACCTGGTTCAGGAAGTCACCACCAGCACTTTCCACGAGCTGATCCTGAGGAGCCCAAAGGTGAGGATGGCGCGATGCCCAGAGCTTGTTCCGGGGCTCCTTTGCATCCCAGCTGCTTTAGGGCTTGGGGAAGGCTGCCAGGACGTTCCCATTCAGGGATCTGCCTTTTGGGGGGGGGGGTTGGCCAAGGCTGCCCCCACCCTCCCATGAAAGGTTGGGGTGACTGACGCGGGGTCTCCTTCCACCGTCTCCTGACCTGCCTCTCCCCATCCCCCCCGCCAGGCTGTCCTGCTGCTCTATTATGCCCCCTGGTGCGGCTTCTGCGCCTCTCTCAGCCACATCTTCATCCAGCTGGCTCGGATTCTGCCCCCCAAACGCTTCACGGTGGCCAGGTAGGCAGGCGCCTCCTTCCTGCTCCTGGAATCCGAGGGGATCGTTTCCTGCCCCCCCCCTCTGCCTTTGGGGGTCCCAATGCCACTTTGGAGCCCAGGAAGCTCCAAGAGGGCCAATGGGGCTGGGCACCTGCCCGGCTTTTCTGTCTGCAGCCGAGGCCCCTCCTGCCTATTCCTGGCCGTCCACGCTAGGAAAGTGACGGGAAGCGTCTCCTGGGGTGCCTCGGCCCCCCTTTCCCCATGCCTTTCGAGGGGGAGGAGACATGCGGGGTGACCCCTAGTTGGCAGGTGCTGTGCGTGGCTCAGTGGCCAGAGGAGAGGTGCTCTCTAGAGGTGGTTTCCCTGGTGGTTTTGCTCGTGTTTGCCAGGTGTGACCTGAATGCTGGAGGAACAAATCCCAGTTGTTTAAATCCAAATGAAGCCATTTTGCTGTTTTTGTGTGTCAGAGATTTTGAGGAGAGCTTGCTGACGCTTGACTCATCCCCCCCCCCCCCGGCCAGTTGCTCTTCCCCGGGAACAAAGGGGGGACACCTTTGGGACACCCCTCTACCAAAGCCTCCCGCCTGTCACCCCCTTCCCTGTTTTAATAGGATTGACGTTTCTCAGAATGACCTCCCCTGGGAATTCATGACGGACCACCTACCCAACATCCTCTTTTTTCCTCATGATCGGCAAGTAATACATTTTTGCATCTGGATTGTGAGGTTTAAGTAAAATATATGTATAATATGGGAAGGAAACTTAATTGTGACAATACTATGTTGGATTAAGTCTTGAGTATAAGCCTTGATTATCAGAGAAAAAATGTATTGCAATTGTACAAGCAGGATAACTGAAGATAAAACAGCAAGCAGATTCTCAGGCTCTCAAATATTCATGAAAACAGTTTACACCCTAGTTTTATAAATCATTAGCATAAAATAGTTTTTTTTTCCAGAAAGCAGAATTTCAATGCAACAAGAAACCGATTTGTATCTGAAAGGGCTGCTTAAAAGTAACATTTTTTTGTTGTCGTTCTTGCCTCCAAATTAGTGTTGATTCCTGGATGAGCAGTTTTCTTGGCAAGGCCCTTTCCTAGGGTTGAAAGGAAGACTGGCCCAAGTCTTGGCACAATTGGAACTCATAGTCCCCTGGTTAAACAAACACCTCCCAAAGCCACACGGTCGGTCTGGATAATCGAGCCACTCCTTAGCCTTGGCATGACGTCATAGGCCAGACCTGCTTTCTCTAGCAAAGTGAAGCGGCCATTAAGTGGGTGAGCAGGTTGCCCGAGTGTTTCCTGCTCCGTTTCTTCCCACACCTGCCTTCCAGATTAAACAAGAGATATTCTGAGGCCTAAATGAGGCCCCCACAACCCGCAGAGCACAGGGGGCAAAACTGGGCAGCAGAGGTTGCTTCCCCCCCCCCCCCCCGCCCCCCAATTACAGTAATCTGAATGGGAACGCGGACTGAATTTCAGCTGCAATTCATTTAATTGTTGCCTCTGAAGAAAAGAATGCTGTAAATGCCAGCTCACTTGTCCCCACTTGTGTTTTGCACCTTGGTGCAGTTCCTGGCACGGTGCAGCTCAGGGGCCGTTTGGAATCTCCCAGACCCCAAAAGGTCTAAGAAATCAGGCTGATGCAATTGGAAGCATCAGGGCCACCTTTCCTTTCCAGTCGGGTTGGAAAATCAGGTTGGAGTTTCAGCTATTGTGAAGTCGTAAGAAGCGCTGGCCCAGCCGGATTGTGGCTTGGACCTGCAGAGAGGAGGGATCTTGGCCCAGATGTTGGGCAGGAGGAACAGCTGCTCTGCTGGTTTTCTCAGTATTTCACAGCTGCTGCTGCCGCTGCCGCCCAGAGCCTGCATTTCCTGCACTACTGCTCTCCTGGGACAGAAACTGGCAGAGCAGCTTCCTAACCCTGCCGTCTCCAAATCCTCGGGTAGATTCTTGGGAGTGTTACAGTCCGGCACCAGAAGCCAGACTTGCTCCAAGCCAAGAACCCCCCCCCCCCACTGCCCTCCTAACTTAACCAAAGGAAAGGCTGCCTGGGAGGGACGAGCCAAAAGGGTCCAGTCGGCAAAGAGGGCTTCTCATCAGCAGAAGGTTGTCCAGAAGAGATTAGGTTGGACTAGAAGACCTCCAAGGTCCCTTCCAACTCTGTTATTCCATGATTGACCCCCTGTGCCCAGAAAGGCTCACCCCTCTCTTTGCTCTCCTAGGAAGGACCAGAGCTCCAAGTTCCCTGCAACTTCTCTGATTAGCGTGCCCAGCCTCCTGAAATTCATCCTCTACCACTCCAGCCCACCCTTTCCGGCTGCGGGTTGGGGGCCCGGCCTCTGGCAAGAGACCAGTCTCCAGCAGGCACGCATCGCCCACCTGGAAAAGGAGATCGGGCTGCTGAAGGCAGAGATCCAGGCCCTGCACCAGGCCCAGGGGCAGCTGCAGGGGCAGCTGTCCGAAACCCGCAGCGAGAGCCAGCGGCTGCAGCGAGAGACTCGCGCCCTGAAGCAGCAGCAGCAGAGCCACCAGGAGCAGCTGCAGGGGCTGTGCAGTCAGAGGACCTGGCGGCTGGAGGACCTGGCCGAGAAGCTGCGGAAGCTGGCCGAGGCCTCCGAGACTCTCCTGACCGAGAACGCCTTCCTGAAAGTCTTGCTCGCCATTGCAGAGAAACACCGGGCAGCAGAATCGGGCCCGGAACGCAGCCCTCCTGCCGAGGACCCCACAGGCCTCCTGTCCCCCGGGCGTGGCCACTTCCCCCCGGTGGAAAAGGAAGGGGCTGCCCCGCTGGACTCCAGGGTCCCCGCAGAGCACAGCAAGGAGAATTGGACCGAGTAGCTCTGCTGAACCTGGGATGACCAGACAGACAGACAGACAGCCGAGTCTGGAGCAGAGAGGCGGCCTCTAGGCAACCTTTATTGAAGTGTCCCTAGAAAGCCTCCCCCCTCCTCTTTTGCTGGACCGGAGGGGGCTGTTTTTTAAGAGCGTCGTGGACCCAGAGTGGCAGGTCTTGGGATTTGTGAAATTGTCAAATTGCAGGGATTGTTCTTTGCACTTTAAAATTGCACTAATTTGATAAGATTTTGTATCCGTTTAACCTAAATTAAACAATTTGCAGGGTGGCCATATGAGGCGTCTCTTTCCCCACCCATAAACAAAGCAAGATTATTCCATTGGGGGCTAAAACACAAAATGTTCAACCTGGTTATCTTCCAGATTTGTGTTTAGAGAACTTCCAGGAAGGTCAATTGTACGGTTAAGGAGTGGGGGGAGCAAGGCGTCCACCCCACCGTGTCCCCCTTCTCTGCCCCTTCTGGCTGGGGGAGCCTCTGCCGTGCCTGACCTGCTCTGGGAGAATGAAGCAGCCTTGGGGGGGGGGGGGGTTGATGAGAGGCCGTCTGTGGCAAGCAACACTGAAGCGGTTGGGGGCAACTGGATGGGGGCCACCAAACTGCTGGCCATGAACAGAGGAGAGGGAGCTCCAGGCAAAGCTGTGCAAGAGCCCATCCATCCGCCCCCCCCCCCCCCCCCTCCCCCCCCCCCCCCCGGGGGGGCCGCCGGGGGGGTCTCAGGAGGCCCCCCCCCCCCCCCCCTTGCCGTTGGTTGGAGAAAGTGCTGCTTAAGCCAGAGAGAGAGAAAGGAGGGGGGGCCTTGCCAAGCGTCAGGGTCTCCCTGTGGCCATAAAAGCCCACGTGGAAATGAGCAAAAGGGAGGGTCGCAGATGTTGGGAGGCAAGAAGGATGCTGTCTGGTGCTCGGCCGGGAATTCCCAGAAGCCCCTTGAAGAGGGTGGGTTTAGCTACAAAAATACACTCGCTGGGAACAAGAGCAAAGCCCCCAGCCCACTCTGAGAGCGGAACGCAGTGCATCCGCAGGCAAGGAGGAAGTGGCCAGTTACTCAAAGGCCTTTCCGCCCTTTCGCTGCACTCCCAGCCGCCTTCAGACTGCACCCCAAAGGGAAAGCCGTCATCACTGGCTGTTGGGGGGGGGAGGGGCTGCTGTTGCTTTCAGCAGTCGGAAATGCCTACTCCCCCTAGACCCCCCCCTTCCTTCAGGGAGAGCAGACTGCCATCCTTCCTGGGCAGCATTGCCAGGGCCCTCAGAGGTGGTGGTCCCATCTGCACATTAAAGCACACCAACGAAGCAGCCGTCCAGAACTGCAGCATTTTGCAGCTGCAGCTGCCAGTGCAAGCACCGATCTGTCCTGGAACACGAGGTGCAAGGCCAACATCACCCCCCTCCCCCCACCCCCGGCTGGTTTTGGAGAAACCCCTGCAGGAGTCATGCAGCGTCTCCTAAATCCAAGCATGGCACACAGCCAGCAGGTTGCTCTTTCCCAGTTCCTGGAGAGGCTCACATTATCTCCTCAGGGCTCAGTGGGCGATTCAAGTAGCAGGTTGAGTGAGTGGGGTTCACGCTGGGCCTCCACCTGTCCATGGCTGGCAACAGACCTTGTGACGGAGAATATGCCCCCGAGCAAGGAGGGTCGTCTTCCCTGGCAGGCATGGCTGCCAGTGGCCAAACGTTGGGTACGGTGGTAGGTGCAGCCCTGCGTGTCCTTCACAGTATCCATGGATTTGCAGCCGGTGCAAATCCTGCTAGCCGTGTGCCTTGGGGCCACCAGGGCTGAGCTTGGGCTTCCTCTCCGTGCAAGGCCCCCGCGCAGAGTACTGGACCAGGAGGAAGGGCTCCTTGGTTTCGCCTTCACCCACGATGCTCTCCTCGTCCTCCGACTGGCTGATCCGCTGGAGGCGCAGGTAGCACCAGCAGCCCAGAATCAGGGCGCCCAGGGCCGCGATGGCGATGAGGATGACGATGACGGTCACCACCCCCGTGGTTGGGCTGTGGTCCATGATGGACATGGCGAGCGGCCGCAAAGGGGCCCCGGGCCCTGCTGGGGGACGCTGCTCCCTCCCTCGCGAGAGGAAGGGGCTCAGCGGCTGCAGAGAGAGAGAGAGACCGGTGAGGCCAGGAAGCCCAAGGAGCCCAGGCCTGCTTCAGCTGCACGCCGGGGCCCAGGAGCCGGAGCAGAAGGGAGGCGCCTCTCCCGGGTGTCGCCCCAAAGCCCCGGGCTCCTTCCGCCCCACGTTGAGCGCGCCCGGGCCTGCTCTCCACGGGCCGGGCAGGAGCCCCAAGCAGGCACTTCCAGGCCAGCCTGCCGGCTCTGCCTCTTGCCCCGGCCTGCTCAGAGAAGGCGAGGCCGGCCCAGCCGGAAACGGTCTCCGGTCTCCCAGCGCCTGAGCGGGCATTGCCGGGCGAGGAAGGCGCCCGGTGGGGGGCGGGGGCGGCGGCTTCAGCGCTCGACTCCGCTGCTCAAAGGCCCGCGATGACAGCCCCCCCCCCCCCCAGGCAGCGGCTGCGCCCCTCGGCCTCGCTGCCCTCCGCCGCCTCCCTTGGCAGGAAAGGCCGAAGCGGGGACGGGACGGGGGCAAGTCCAGCGGAGCCTTCTCCCCGGCGGAGGGCAGAGAGCACGTGAGGCCGCGGACCCCGGCCCCCCGCCCCCCCCCCCCCCCCCCCCCCCGGCCTGGCTTGCCCGCCCTCCGAGCCCGGGACCCGGGAGCAGCTGCGCCGGAGCGGCCGAGCCGAGTGCGTCACGGGCTCCGGGGCAAAGGCGCGCGCTCGCCGCAGCCGAACAAAGGAGGCCGTCGCGGGGCCGACGCGGCCATCGGGCGGAGGGGCTCGGCCGAAGCCGAGGGGCGGGCCCGGCGCAGCAGCCTCCCTTTGTCCGCCCAGCGCGGGGCCGGGGAGGGCGGCGGTCTCTTGTGCCGCAGGCGCCGTTGCAGGGCCCCCCGCCCCTCCTCCCCCGCCCCCCCAGGCTCGGCGGCCCCGGCCCTGCAGCTCACCAGGGAGGCGGCGCTTCCAGCCGGGGAGGCGTCGAGCTGGAGCGACCGGCCGCCGTCCTCCTCCTCCTCGCCCGGGCCCTCGCGCGCCGCAGCCCCCACCCGGCCACCATGCCGGAGCCGCGGAGCGCCCGCACTGGCGGCCGCCGCCTCGGCGCAGCCTTATAAGGAGCGGCGGCGGCCAATCAGCGCGGGCGCTGGAGCCCGCTTGGCAACGGCGGGGGGCGTCGCTCTCCGGCCCCGGCGGCTCCCTCGCCGCGTCGCGCCCTGCCGGGTGGGCTGCAGCTCAGCCCCGATGGAGCCCGTCGGGGTCCCTGCCCCGAGGCCTTGGGAGCTCCGCCGCAGTTCGGGCGCTTGGAGCCTCCCCGGTGCCTCCTCGCCCTCCTGTGGATCCTTCCTGCGGATCTCCTGCTCATGAGGCCCCCAGCACCGTCTCTCCCTCTCTCCGTGGTCTCTTGACCTGGCGGAGTCCAGAGCTTCCTGCCCATCCTCCGCTCCCTCTTCCGACTTTCTCTCAGGAAAAGCGTGATGAGAAGAAAGGCGGAGAACCGAAGGCAGCCCCCCCCCCCCGCAGGGGATGTTCAGGGCAGGGGTCCCACAGGCCCAGAGCAAAGGGGAGCCCGGTCCGAGGCCGGTGGGGTCCGTCCCCTCCTCCCTCCCTTGATGGGTTTCACTTTCCAAGGCACCTTGGAATAATTTGAACCAGGCAGGAAAACTGGCTGGCTGTGACACACCTTCCCGATAACAAGCCCTGGCTGCTTTCTGAAGCCATCTTTGCTCCAGTCCCTCCATCTGCTCCAGGGGCGGCAGCAGCAAGGAAGGGAGCTTTCCTGGAGGGTCCCACAGATCAAGGCAAAGGCTCCCTCTGGTATTCCGAGCTAACCTCAAGTAGGATGAGTGCAAGAACCCCCCTCCCACTGGCAGCTCCCGTGGAACTCATCCCACTGAGCTTCCAGTGCTGGAGGGAATCTCAGAGCAGGGAGGTGCAGAGTCAGGGCTGACCAACGTGAGCCGCTCAACCCCTTTGCAAGCTGATGGCCACCTGGGCCCAACCGTCCAGCTTCATAGCTAGGGCTCTCCATGCTCAACCGTTTCTCTTTCTGGCTGTGCCAGTCTCTGCCCAGGGAGGCTGGATGGAACACTGGAGAAAAGTTGCTTCCTCGTTCTACTGGTTTGCACCCCGTGATGTCAGAAGCCCTGTCACTTGCCCTGGTAAATGCTGTGTGTTGCATTAGGGAGGGACCAAATCAGATCCAAAGGTAGAGAGAGACCATAAATAACTTACCAACCTCACCTGTGTTTAGCTAGAGGCGGTCAAGGCATCTTCTGTGGTGTATTTATTAGTGGCTTGTTTGCTGGTCCCTCCTTGACTTAGAATATTACTAATGTTGGCAGCTTCTCATTAGAATGCTTTCATGTAGCTCATTTTGAACAGAAACTGTATTTTAATTTCTCTGCCTTGTGAGCAGCAGAGATTTGACTGCTTTTAGCAGCTTTATATTTAGAAAATTCCTGATGTGGAACTGATTGTGCAATGCAGAAAGAGGATTTCTCATTTCACAAGTTTCAGGGGAATATTCTTGATCAGCAAGCATTGGCCTTTATTTCTCTCAGCCCGTCTCCCTGACTCACTGGGGACCCCAAAGGTATCAGGGCTGCCATTGTCAACTCAACAGTGCTTAGATTTTCATCCTGGTCTGCTTTCCCAAAGCAGATTCCATCAGGATTAGGAAGCCCAGGATTAGGAAGTCACATAGAGGGAGGGATCTGTCCAGAATTCAACCCCCAGGAATTCTGCCCACTTTGCTAGTCCAAAGGTTCAAGTCCTGGGTCTCCTCTCATTGCCTCCTTGCAGACTCTGCCCCTTTCTGCAGGCTCAAAGCATTTTCACCCTTCATAGCAATTGCAAGAACTCCAATCAATGTTCCCGCAAAAGGGCACCAAAAGAGTAGGAGGCTCGGGGGGGGGGGGGGGCCAAGTCCCTTGCCCAGGAAGTGCCCTCTCTGGAGTGGGAGGGTGACTTGGTGCTGTCCTTGGTCCTTATCCCTGGAAAGAAGAGGTCACTGAGGGGAGGCTTTTGCTTTGGGACGGAAGGGGAGACATCTTGGTTTTTGCTTCAACAGGATACCTGGGTTGACCTCATCCGTATTTCCTGTCTGTAAGAGACAGAGAGAGGAGTCTCAGCTGACAGACCGATGGTTTTCCCCTGCTTGCTTTGAAAAAGGATTGTAGGTGGTCATTCTAAAACTGGTCAAGCAAATGTAGTGCTTAAACCAGCAGCCCCTAAATCCAGAAATATGTTATTGCAAACGGATGGAACTGCCATGATGTAACTTGGAGTTGTGCCCATGGCGGGATTGATTGTAAGCAAAAGTGGCCTTCCGCCCAGGGAAGCCATGCTCAGTAGCTTCTCTCCCACCCACGCACCTGTCTTCAGGTATTGTGCTGGTCACTATCCTCCATTAAGGCCTCTTGATGCTGTTTTCGAAGGAACCTGCGGCATTCGCCACGGCTCTGCTCGCCACAGGAAGGACCATCACTTCCTGCGCGCTCTTTGCAGCTTTGCAGCAGATCCAGGAGGAGCAGTTTGCACTGCCTACATGCTCAGACCTTCTGCAAAGCCATCTAAGAAAGAGGTCTGTAGTGCCACCCCATTTTTAGAATCATTTCCTGGCCTTCTTTGGGACCCTCCAAAGTTTGTGGGATTTTTGTCAAAGTCTTCTCATTCTTTCTCAAAGGATTGGCTTGTTTGCTTCCTGGGGAAGACTTTTTAAAAATACTTTTTGGTTAACATTGTCAGATTATATTATATTTTTATACTAAGCTATTTTTGCATGCACTGCTACTATGGAAAAAAGTTAGTATGGCATATTTAAAATAAACAAACGGGGGGATGGGGGGAGACTATAGCTGCACATGTCTCCTCTCTTGGCAGAGAACACCAGGCAGCAGTGGAGAGAAAGGGAGTCCTACAAAATCTGGTTTTGCAGGTAACAGCATCACACAAATGATGACCCTGGACACACTTGCTTACATAAACAGACCTAACTGGAGACGTTTCCTGGCTTCTTTGCTTTTTCCTGTAATGGAAGCTTAAATTATTTATATCTTCTCTCCAGCAGAGCAGACTGGGAAGAATTCCCTCTCTGCATCCAACTTCTTGGTGCAGCTGGGAAACCAACATGGCTAGTGGGGGGAGCCTTCCTTTGAGAGAGGAGGCGAGACAGCTGCTCCTGGCCCCAAAGGGTTCGGGCTTCATGACTGACCGTTGGAGTGAGAGAGCCCTCAACTGCCTCCCTGTGATCTCATGCGCAGGAAACTGCAGGCAAAGTATTTTTAGAGATGGTTGACATGTCACGATGCTCACAAGTAGACAAAGGGGTATTTTATCTGCAGAAAATGCAATGGACAGCAAGGAGACACCACAGGTTCTTGGCCCATAAATGCTCTTTAGCAAACAGGTAGAGAATGTCAGAAGCCAAGGAAGTAAATTTCACTGACTGAAGTGAATTTCGAGCAGCCCGAGGGAAGATCTGGAAACACCACCACCTTCAGCCATGCTTTTTCATTGAGTTCCTGCCCAATGTTTCTCCGAGTTCTTAGCTGGCGGCGGCTCTCCTGGACTTATCCCTGAAAGCTGAACTGGGCTGAGTTCACCCCGTGGCCCTGGGGTGGCAGAGCTCTTGGCCTGGGGGGTCCCTTTTGCCCCCCTCTATGCATTTCTGCAGCAGCAGCAGCATCGGGGCAGAGCTCCCTGACTCAGAATGGAGGCCCCAGCATCATGGCTTTCACTGACTTTCAGTAAGACCCACCTGGCTTGAAACGCAGCTTGGGAAAGGAAGTGCCCTGCTGCCCCCCCCCCTGCAACCTCTGCCGGAGAAGCAAAGACAATCTCTGGAACAGAATTAAGCAAAGACAGTGGCAGAAGGGCCGTGTCCCTCTGTTCAATGTAAGGTGGACTAGAGACTCTTCAGGTGTCCCACCGAGCACCAGGTGTTTTGGGAGTCAGTTCCTTGTCTCCAGTTTCAGAGGGGAGGGGCTGGGGGGGCGGTGGCAGAGGAGGCGGCTTGACTCCCATCCTTGCGACCTGCAGGGTGCTCTGGGCCATCTCTTCTTTCTCCTGCCGGCCCTTGCAGGACCACCACCACAGCCAGTCTTCCCAGTTCAGCATGGTCTCTGGGACCATAACCTGCAGAAGGGGAGACGGGGATGACCCACACTCACCCTCCCCATCTTTCTTCCGTGAGGTGGCCTGTGATGGGGGGGGCAGGATTGGGTCCAGGGGCTGCGCAGCCAGGAAAAGAGGGAAACAGGTCAGTTGTCAAGAAAGGCAGGAGCTTTAATTAGCAGGACGGATCTTTTTATGGAAGTCTGAGCTCAGCAAAGGTGGGGGGGGGAATAAATGGAAGAACGGAGAGAGGAACAAGGGTGGGGGAGGCAGAAATGAAAGCAGGGGAAGGGGGGGAGCCCTTAATTGTGGGGGCCCATTTTAAGCCAGGCTATAGCAATGAGCTGCTCTTCCCCCTCCCTGCAGGTGGTGACCTGTTGACATCCGGAACATTCAGAAACCTTCGGGTCCTCCAGGGGCCCAGATTGCCCGGATGGCCGCTCTCTGTGCAATCCTCCACCCCCGTTGCTCCCGCTGAGCCTCGGCTGCTGAGGGCTGTCAAAGCAGAGAGGCCCACCCCGGGGCCTCCAGCACATCTCCGGGAGGAACCGAAGGAAGCCTGCGACCCCCAGGCGGCCACCCTGCCAAGCGGACGAGGCTGGCTCCGGAACACGCCTAAGGGCAGCCATGGCTCCCCGCCTGGGCCCTGGGCAATGCCACCTTCAGTCCGGGTGGGCATGGGTGGAGCGGCCCGGGAGCCTCCCTGGGCGAAGGCTGCCGGCAAAGCCTTGGTTCTGCCAGGCCGGAGAGCCGCCTGTCCCCGCCGCCTCCTCCCGGGCCGGCTCCGGCAGAAAGCCCTCGCTTGCTCGACGGCTCGCAAAGCCCGACCAGAAGAAGAGCGGAGCGGAGAAGCCGGGCCGGGGGCGCCCTTCGCCCGGCCCGACCCCGGCGCGCCCCTTCCTCTCGGCAGCGCGCCCCGGTCCCCGAGCGGGCGCCCTCGGCGGGCGCCGGCGTCTGGGCCGCTTTGACAAGCGCCGCGCGGTCAGGAGGGCTCGGCGGCCTGGCAAAGCACCTCGGCGGCCCTTTCTGGGCTTCCTGCCCGGGGCGGCGGCCCGCCCAGCCGGCCGGGAGCCCAGCGAGGAGGGCTGGGCTGGGGCGGGCCCTGAAGGCGCGGGAGGGGCGCGGAGCTGGAGGTCCAGCAAGGCGGAAGAGCCCGACGGCGAGCAGGTGAAGCGTCCCTGGCGACCGGGAGGTAAGGCGGCTCTGGCCCGCCGGGGCCCCGCGCGGGAGGGCGCGCCGGCTGGGCCCCTCGGGGACCGGCGGGGAGGGACCGGGAGCTCTGGCCCCGCGGGGGCAGCGGCGGCGCGGGCAGCTTTTCCGAAGCGCGGCCGCTGCTCCTTCTCGGCAGCCTCCGCCTGCCGGGCGCGTCCGAGCCCCACCGCGGCCGGGGGGTTCCCACCTGCAGCAGCGCCCCGAAGAAGCCCGTGGCAGAAGGGCGAAGCGGGCGGCTTCTGCCGGACTCTCGGCTCGCCTTCCCGGGTGGCTGGAGGCCCATCGGGGCCGCCGCGGCGCTTCTGCCGGGGGAGGGGAAGGACGGGAAGGGGAGGGGGGCTCCGGCGCCCCCCCCCCCCGCTCCGGCCCCCGGCTTAGGAGCACAAGCGGGAGCCGCTCGGGGAAGGGGGCGGGCTGGAAGGGGGGGCTTTGCAAATGAGGCGGGCTGGCCTCGGGGAGACCCCCTCCCTCAACCCAGGGGGTCGGTGCTTGGCTTTGGGGGGCAAGAAAGAGGCCCCGAGCCCAGGGCAGGCAGCCGGCACAGGCGGCTCTTTCAGTGCTCGGGCCTCAGGCCTTTGGGGGACGAGTGATGAGGAAGGTAATGGAGGATAGATGCGACAGGAGGCAGGGCAGCGGGGCCGTAGCACACGGAATGGTTAGAATCACAGAGTGCAAGGACTGAAGACATTAGAGACCATCTAGTCCAGCCCCTGGCCCATAAGGAGAAGAGGGAAAGCCTTTTTCAGGCTTTCAGATGGACCATTATCCTCTGTCCCATTATCCTGTGCTTTCCTTCTGAAGCAGAGTTTCTTTTGAACCCACATCCGGTTTCCTGGTGGGGCTGGGCATTGAAACTTTCCACTCGCTCCTTATTTATTTATTTATTTATTCATCGCATTTATGAAGTGACTCTGGTGGCAGAGTTTAATCATCATCATCCTGGCATCCTGAAAATTGCCCCACCGGTGAGGCTTCTTGGCACAATCACAGCCCTGGGTATGGATTATGGCATCGCCCCTGGAAAGCAGCCCAAAAGCAAAAGGCAGTTTCTCCCTCCCGTCTTCTCTCCAGGCCCCGTTGCTACAGCAGCCCCCCCCCCGCCCCCAGTCCTAGCACCGCTTGGGACAGCTGACCACTTCCCCACACACTGGGATGGGGCAGGCGGTCATGGTGGGTGACCATTACTCACACAGGAGGTGACGGTGTAGGGCAGCGTTGTGACCCCAGGCAGGTGAGCTGCTTTGCCCCACAGGCAGTCAAAGGGGCTGCCCTCTCTGAGGCTGGCATAGCTGTGGCTCCTTCTGACCTCACAAAGGCTGGCTGCCCCCCCTCCCCCGCTTCTTAGGGGCCTGGGCCTCTCCAGAGCCACTCTGGGGCCTCAGCAGGTGCGTGTGTCTCTTCCCCTTGAGGAATTCTAACAGCAACTGGCTTGGCTGAGATGGAAATGCCCTCCCCTCCCCCCAGGTCCTGGGCAGGGGGGGCTAGCTGCTCCCCTTGCAGAATGGGACCCCTCCCCCCACACTTTGCAGGTGCTGCCTCCTCTGCCCAGGCCTCTTCGCTGGGGAAGGGGGGGCCCAGGAGGCCATGTGAGAGCAAGTGGGGTGGGGCAGCTTTGCTTCATTCGGGGAAGTGTTGGCAATCAGGCCGAAAGTCCCGGTTGTGTAACCAGAAGCATTGCAGAATGGCAGCCTGGGGAGAGGCAGTTCCGGCTTCGGCTTTGGGGAATGGCAGGGTGGGGTTTGGCTGTGTGGAGGCAGAGTGGCTGGGGCTGCCTGCCAAAGGTCTGGTTTGGGGGCCCTTGACCAATTGTCCCTCGGCCCCTGCCTGGCTTTCTGACACCTGCGTGGCCCTTGAAGCCCTGCATGGGGGGGGGCAGCCAAGGTCAGCCCCCAGGAGGAAGGCAGTGCTGAGAGCAGGCTGCAAGGACCAGCAATGTTTTTGCACACTTACCAAGTTGTGCAACCTCTTCTCAAACTCCTCCTGGAGCCCCTTTCAGGGCTGGTGGGGCTGCCCCCTTCCTGCCAAGGGCCCTCCTGCCACAGCCACCCCTCACTTCTAGCTGTTTGGGTTTTGTTCTGGCTGCTCAGACCTTGCAGAATCCACTTCCCTGAATGAAAAGTTTGAGACCAAGTTGGGGTGTGTGTGCGTGTGTATCTTTCTCTGAAGTTCTTCCTTTTTCTTCTGAGTCATTAGACGCCCCCCCCCCGCCCCCCCAGCACTTTCTTCCTCTTAGGGACCCTGGTGACACCACCTGGTTTGGCAGCCTTCTCCCGGGGCAAAGGAGATCTGGGCTAAGGGCCTGCTCTGGGTGGCAGCATTCCTGGCACAAGAGTGGCAGCCCTGCGAGGTAGGCCGGGCATGCCACGAAGGCCAACTGAGGGCTGTACCTCTCTCTCCCCCCCATCCGGTACTAAACCAGACCAAGATGGCGTTGCTTTGTGTCTTTCTCGTGCCCCCCCCCCCCCCTTGGCTGTGCAGCTGACTCAGAGCTTCATTGTTTGACCTGTTTTGTAAATATTGTTGGGGGAGGGGTGGCGTTTAATTCCTGGAACAGGAAACAGACGCCTGTTTTCTGGGAATGCAGGCAAGGAGCCTGGCGGGGGGGGGGGGGGGGGCCCGGGGGGGGGGGGCCCCTCTGGGCCGCTCCTGCCCCCCCCCCGCCTGGCAGGGCTGTTCCTCCAAGGGGCCGGCCAAGCACCCCAGCTTCCTTTTGGCCTCTCTCCTAGAAACATGGCTGCTCCTCCCTCAGCTCCTCCACCGTCTTACGAAGAATCGGCCAGAACCAGTAATCCAGTCCCGTTTCCCTACCCGCCTGCAGGGGGAATTCCTGCAAAGGGGGCACCGGCCACTTACCCAGCCCAGCCCCAGCCTCCGTTCCTTGCCCAGCCCTATGGCATGCAACCCCAGCCGGCCCCAGCGATGCCTCCAGGTGAGTCCCAGCGGCGCCTGCAGGAGGCTGCCGGGGGGGGGGGGCTGGTCTTGGGGCATCGCAATGGGCACCCCGGAACCTCCCGCCTCTCCCTCTCTCTCCAGTGCCCCTACAAACTGTCTACATCCCGGGGCCCCTCATCTTCCTGGAGCATCCCATGCAAATCTGCTGCCCTGCCTGCAACCAGATGATTGTGACCCGCATCTCGTACCAGCCCGGAGCTCTGGCCTGGCTCTCTTGTGGTGGCCTCGCCCTGCTGGGGTAAGTTGGTCCCATGGGAAGCAGGGCAGCCCCCCCTCCCCCCCCGCACAGCTGGAAAGCAGCAGCCATGCTCTGCTTTCTCCCGCAGGTGCTGGCTGGGCTGCTGCCTGATCCCCTTCTGCGTAGACGCCATGCAGGACGTCCAGCACTTCTGCCCCTGCTGCAACGCCTTCCTGGGCGTCCACAAGCGCCTCTGAGTGGGTCTGGGCCCCCGTGCCAGGAAGCCAAAGCCCCCTTGGCTTCGCCCACGTCCCCCTGGACCGAGCCTTGCGGGGCCCGTGCAGCCCCTCCTCAAGACTTTGGAGCAACGCAGACCGCCTCTCGAGCCTCTGCCCCCCACCTCGGCCTGCCGCAGCCTGCACAGAGGCCCGTGGGGGGAGCAAAAGGGTCCCGCGGAGGCTGCCCCTCTGGGCCCAGCCTCCTCTGCAGGGGGAGCTTGCGGCAACACCTACAGAGGCTGATGGCAGGACGCTTCCAGGGTTTGACCCAAGCCCTGCAGGGCTCCCACCCTTTGCCTCTGGGCACACGCCAAGTAATGGAGCCACCGATGTGGGCGGCAGAAGGGCCTGCTGTGATGCCAGGGCTGGGTGTTCCCTTCGGTCTCAGCGTTTGCCCCAGCCCTCCAAGCGGGAAGAGAGAAGCACAACGGGTGCTGCTGGCCCAGGGCAGCCTGACCCCAGGGGGCTCAAGGGGGCTTCCTGCGGCCAGGGAGCAGGGCCTTTTGTCCTGGGGATTAGTGGTGGGGGGGGAGCAACGTAGCTGGAGAGGGAGGCGAATCTCTGGAGCACTTTAAAGATGTTGGCTCTGCAAGTCCAACTTTATTCTGATTTGCTTCCAAACGTTAGTCCTGACTTTTTCAGCTTTTGAAATAAAACTGCCTCGCAAAAAGAAAGAGCTGCAGGCGACCCTAGTTTTTCCAAAGGGAGAGACCTGGCCCAGCCCTCCTTGCCGTGGGGAAAAAGCGAGGCTGGGCAGCCGCAGGGAGGCAGGGGGACTGGGGCCAGGCAGCCTAGATCAGGGGCACCACTTCACCTTCAAACGGACTGGTGGAAATGTGGCCCCCGAGACCCCCAAGCCGCTTGAGAAGGAACAGAAAGGGTCGTGTTCCAACCAAAAACAATTTACTACAAAAATAGCAAAGAAAATTTCAGTCTGCTCAACTTTAGAGAAATTTATTTACAAAAATTAAATAATTATCTTCTATGAAAAGAGATGTCTAGGGTGTTTTCCCTTAAAAAAGGTCCACGTTATTCAAACAAATGTTTCTAATCTCCCAAGCTGGCCGAGGGCTTTTCCTTCACTTAAAATGGGACAAGGCAAATGCAAATGCCGGAAGAGATGCGGAGGCGCCTGGGGGGCATAGAAACGTTGCATTTTTGCATCATAACAGCATCTGACCTTCTGCAACTCTTGAACGAAACTGTTAAAAACCTGAAAGGGCCCTTTCTGAAACTCCTGCAGCCGAACCTACAGCTTCTCTGGATCCTTTCTCCCACCACCAGAATAAGATAAAACATACATTTTTGGGTGCAGATGGAAATTCCAGCAAGATTCAAGTCAGGGGAGCCCCTTTCTGCGCTCCAAGCAGCCATGCTCCCCACCTCCAGCGAGGAGGAGGAGGAGGAGGAGGAGGAAGCAGCTGCCTTACTGTCCAGGTGCCAACAGCTCTTTGTGCAAAATGGGAGCACAGGCAACTGCGAATCCCAGCAGATGCTGCCAGCTTGCCTGTGCTTTCCCTTTTGTGTGTGTGTGTGTGTGTGTGTGTGTGAAGGCCGGCTTCACCTGGTCAAACCAAGCCGGCATCTTTGGCCATGTTGCAGAAGATGCCTCTCCTCTCGATGAGGTCAGCAGGAGCCCCGCACTCCACGATTCGGCCTTTCTCCAGGACGATCACCCTAAATGTACAACAGCCCCGTCCATCACCCTCTTCCCTTCCCTCCACCACAAGGGCCACCCTGGGCCAACCCCTGCCAGCAGTCGATGCCCCCGCAGCCTTACCGCGTGTAGTCCATGATGGTGTTCAAGCGGTGCGCAATTGTCAGGACCGTGCAACCCTCAAACTGCGTCCGGATCGTCGACTGGATGAGGCTGTCCGTCTCAAGGTCTACCGCGGCGGTGGCTTCGTCCAAAACCAGGATTTTGGATTTCCGCAGCAGGGCCCGAGCGAGGCACACCAGCTGCCGCTGACCCACGCTTGAAGACAGAAAGGGTAACTTTGTTTCCTTTGAAACAAAGCAGGAATTTTGCAAACAGAGGCAATGGGCGTCCTTGTGCCCGTTTCCCAGTCACAGGCCGGCATAAGGTGCTCTGTGTATTGTGTGTGTGTGTGTGTGTGCGTGTGTATCCAGAGCCTGGCTTCTGTTTATCTCAAAACTGACTTTTCACAGCTGCTCCTGAAAGGGTGGAGATGTTTGCCCAGATCTGTTGGACTTTGATAATTTCAGTCGCATTTTCCGGGGCCCTAGCAAAAACTGCCCCTGATTACAGCCCGTATCAGAAACCAATTTCCTTGAATACTTAAGGCGTCCGTTGCATCCTCCTTTTGCAAAAAGGCTGCAGCCAGGAATGGGCAGCTCCCTTTTTTGCAATGAAAGAAAGTGAAGAAGAGGACCAGAAAAAAACAGAAAAAGATCCAGAGGAAAAAAGGAACAGCAAAGAAGAAAGAGAACTAAATGTATTAAGGAAGAAGAAATGCGTTCTCTGTTATCCAACTGGAAGTATTAACTTGGTACAATATATAAAGACGATCTTGTATCAGTTGGGTGTGTGATCCTCCATAACAACACAATTAGGAGAACACAACTATCTCTAAGGTCTCTGAGTCAGCCTGTCCTTGAGTTGGTGACTAAACAGGCAAACTCTGAAGGACTGCGCCCCTCCCCACCCGCCAGGAAAGAGAACCAAGCAGGTAAACACCAGGCACTGTTTTACTCCTGGCGCTGTGTGGGGCGGAGCCAGGGCCACCTGCTTCTTCCTAGGTTCCCAAACAGCCAGAATCACACCTGGTTCTTAAGCCTGTGAATCAGTCCTGGAGGGAGAGCTGGGCTCACAGCCAGAGAGCAGCCAAAACTGATCCAAAGCTGTGCAACGCCTGCAAAGCGGGCAGATGCTTCCTTGGCAGTGCCAGCGTAACGAGGGGCCGGCAGAGCCAGAGTTTAGAGGCAAGCAAGCTTCACGGAGCTCAGCATCCTGTTCTTAAACACGTGCCTGACATGCGCGCACCTTTGTGCGTGGTAAAAACTCTGGGGCTTTTGAAGCCTTGTTGCCTGCATACCTGAGGTTTTCTCCGCCCTCTGAACATTCGTGGAGGAGCTTATCGGGAAGGGAGGAGACGAAGGCTTTCAGGTGAGCAAGCTCCAGCGACATCCAGAGGTCGTCATCGGAGTACTGCTCGAAAGGGTCCAGGTTCATGCGCAGGGAGCCAGAAAACAGGATGGGATCCTAGGTGGGCAAGAGGAAGGGGGACAGAGAGAAGGACAGGTCACAGAAAGGGCCCCTCAGCCGTTTCGTGGGGCAGCTTCTCCCCGCTTCCTGAAACAGCCCTCTGGGTGGGAAGCTTAAAATCTCCAAAGGGCTTCAAAGCTACAAACGCACCACTGAGGTGGATCTGGGCGTTGCATTTTCCATGGGCTCAAATCCAGGCTCTGCTTGCCTGCCTTCCCTCCCAGGGGATTCCCTTCAATGGGACTCCAGTTTGGGGGGGGTGGGGGGGCAGGAGAAGGGGCCTTGCGGAGAAGGTCAGGCCCCAAGGCAGCCCCTACTGACCTGGGGGATGATGGTGATCTTGAAGCGAAGGTCGTGCAGCCCGATTCTGGCGATGTTGACCCCGTCAATGAGGATCTCTCCTTCCGCAGCCTCTTTGATCCGAAACAAGCCCAGCATCAGGGAGGACTTGCCAGCCCCCGTCCGTCCGACGATGCCCACCTGCCGAGGCCGGAGAGCAGAGATGGAACGGCCTGCAGCCGAGGCAGCTGCGAAGGCTGGAGCTGGGGCAGAAGCAGGGCCCCGCCTTCCAAGAGGAGCTGAGCCCATTTGGGGGGATGTGTGGGCAGCACCGGACGGACATTCAGGAAACCCTCCCAACCTCTGCAGGCAGAGGCGGCTCTGCTGAGGGACCCTCGGTGGGGGGCACGGTCTCTGTACTGCTTCCCAGGTCCAGATGGGCATGGAAGGAGCTCCTGCCTTCACCAGCTTCTCCCCCCGCCCCCCAGGGCCAGCAAACCTCTTCTCTGCCACCTTCCATCCTGCTTCCAACCACCAGCACTGCCCGGAACTCACTTTCTCCCCACCACGTATCACCACGGAGACGTCCCGCAGCACAGGGTCCATGTCGCTCCGGTAGCGAAGGCCATAGCCCCGGAACTCCACCCGCCCTTCCTGAGGCCAGCCGGGTGGGGCAGCCACTTGCTCAGAGGTCCACTCGGCCTGCAAGAGGTGGGAAATTAGGCTCTCATGCGCCCCAGCCATTCCGTGGTTTGGGGACCTTCCAAGACCATCCACCGGCTCAACCCTTAGGCCCAGCCCCCCTGCCCAGCACTTGGCCTCTCACCCCCCACGGGATGGTTTTCTGGAGGATGCAAACGCCGTGTAACAGGCGATCCCCAGCAAATGGACTAAGGCAAACCATGCCACCACTCTTGGCCACCAGAGGGCACTGTTGCTCTGCAAGTGGAGTGGCCCGGAAACTGGATGGGGCCCCTGTGGCCCCTTTGCCCTCTGATGGACAGGACCCAAGCTCAGGCAGAGTGAGCAAGCCAGGGGGTGCCCGGGCTTTGGTCTTGAGAGGCTTCTAAAGAGAGGATTCAACCAATTGCGGGGCATTCCGAAGCATTAGCCAGGCGGAACCTTCTCGTTTAGGCGCAGTCTATCTTAAGGAAGTGAGAACAGGAGAGGGCGCAGGTCTTTCTTACTGGTGGACCAAGGAATGGGGGGGGGGCCGCATAGGATCTATTCTAGGAGGGGTTCAGGGGGCTGACCCCCCACCACCCTCTCCAGGCTTTGGGGCCCAGCAACCCATCCCAACTGTGAGCAGAGACTGGCCTCCTTTTCCTTCTCCGAGTATTCCTTGACTCTTTCCACAGCCACGATGTTGGTCTCCATCTCGGAAGACATTCGGACCAGCCAGTTTAAGTAAGTGGTGATCTGCAAAGGCAGGGCGCACTGGTCAGGCCCGGAGGAATCGGAGCAGGAGGGCACCATCTTGGAGGCAGCCGCCAGCAGGGACGGTGGGCCATTGAGGGCCCCGATTTAAGGTGAACGCAGCCCACGAGAGGCGGCAGGGAAGGGCTCCTGGCCCAAGGCAGGACCGGGTCTTAGGGGCCAGAAGAAGCAGGCTGCCCCTCCTCCTGGCCAGCCAATGCCCTCTCGTGCGAGAGGCTACGGCCATCGCATCTATGCGATCCTAAAATCCCCCCTTTGACCGGAATCCCTCCCACGGCAGGATGCCTCCTCCCATCGGAGAAGGGTTGGCTCATGAGGGGGCAGGGCTCAAACCCGCCAGGCCGCCCTGAAGCTGTCCTACCTGCAGCGAGTAGGAGATGGACAGGCCCACCAGACCCGGACTCAGGCTGTGGCGAGCGATGACGGCAAACAGGGCTGCGAAAAGGACGATGCAGTTGCCCACCGACTCCAGCCGGACGGCCAGCCACCTGCGCAGGCCAGGGAGAGCAGGGTTAAGGGTTAAAGGTTAAAGGCCAGGGAGGGCTTCCCGGTCCTCTCCCCAACAGGGTTACCGGTTGGCCACGATGCTCGGGTAGTAGGCCTTCTGGTTTTCATCCACTTTCAGGTCACTCTGCCTGATGAACCGTTTCTGCTCTCCAAAGGCTCGGATGACGCTGACGCCCAGGAGGGTCTCGTTGAAGTGCGAGTAGACCGGGGAGCGGCTGACCGACTCCAGGCGCTTCAGCTGGCGTGAGGTGGCAACGTAGAAGCGCTGCAGAGAAAGCACGAGAAGGGCTGGCGGTCAGAGGGGTCCCCAGAACCAGGAAGGGAGCCCCATGGAGAGCACGCGGGGCCCCTACCTGCACGAAGAAGTAGGTGAGTCCCAGGGGAGGGATAACCACGGCTGCAATCGGCGTGGCCAGCAGGATGATGACGCAGGCGCCCAGCACGTTGAAGAGCGAGCCCATGAACATCTTGATGACCTGCGGCAGGGTGGAGTCG